TGGACCCTTCGGTGGAGCTCTCTATGGGTCCGCGAACCCCGTGAGGGGTGTGCCGAAATGGTTGCGGCGGACGCATGTGGACGGTGGCATAGGGGCCTTCGGTGGCCACGAAACGTGCGAGGGGTGTGTCGCAATGGGTGCTGGGGACGCATGTGGACGGAGGCATTGGCGCTTTCGGTGGAGCCCCCTTATGTGGACACGAAACGTGTGAGGGGTGTGCCGAAAGGGGTGTGGGGGACGCATGTGGACGGTGGCGCGGGGGCCTTCGGTGGAGCTCCCTATACCGCGACGAAACGTGTGAGGGGTGTACAGAAATGGGAGTGGGGGGCGCATGTGGACGGTGGCCTAGGGGCCTTCTGAGGAGCTCCCGATGGGGCCACGAAACGTGTGAGGGGTGTGCCGAAATGGTTGCGGGGGACGCAAGTGGGCGGTGGGACTGGGACCTTAGGGCGGAGGGGGAGGAGGAGGAGAGGAGACGCGGGGCGCTGTCTTGCTGTCTTTTCAAAACGAGGACCCGACACCACAGGATGGTTAGGACAATTTGCTTGTTGATGTGTAAAGTATGCTGCAGTACACCCTCGCGTCACCAAGTCCCCTCATGAGCCCCTGCAATCTGCGACCCCAAGCGAACCCTACCCCCTTCCCATACGGGTTCAATCGCCACTGGGCTATCGGTCTCTCTCGCTGAGGTGCACTCTGTTGCAGACATCCTTCGAACTCTAACCCCTGCCGTTTTCAAAAATATGATCGGCAGGCGTAAGCGAGGTGATGCGAGGCAAGGCGCCAACATACGTCCCGAAAGACGGCCATACCAGAGCGAAGCTGTTGGGCTGGAGCCCCAGACACACTTCAAAACCTTGTGTGATTCATGAGCGTGAAGGCTCGCGGGGGAGGAGAGGGGCGACGACGAGTCGAGAAGCCATGCGCCGTTTGGCGCGGGGGCGGGAAACGTGCACGTGCCAATGAAGAGGACGAGACGGAGGAGGGGGGGGACAGGAAGAAGGAATCTTCAGAGCAAAGCGTCCTCGCCAGTGCCGAAAGCGAATTCAGTACAGAGCTCTCGCCACTTTATCTGCTCCTGCGCGGCCTCGTGCAAGCGTTGGTCAGAGGAGAACCGGCACCGGACTCTACGATACAGTTCCTTTGTCCACTCATGTCTGGGTCTCCCGATTAGTTGTTTACGTGAGTCGGTCGCCAGTCGTGGGGTGCTTGGCCGAAAAGTGAGTTGTCGCAAAGCATGTTCACATATATGATCGGCAACTTGCGCCAAACATAATCAATTGCAGCTGTAGTAGCTGTGAGGAGTATGTTGTTTGACTAGATTGTTGAAAAACGCTATTGTTTGATAAGCCATGCCGAACTTAACGAATATAGTACCTTGCCTTTGATGAGAGCAGATAGCACTTTCAGCTTGCATGTGTTGCTCACCGCAGTGTGTGTTCCACGCGTGCGCATATCTTTGAAACCCAGTGCATTTCCAGCGTAGGCGTGATGATCTTTCCAGCGGGGTTTGTGATACGACTTGGACAGCTGCTTTACAAACATTGAAATTCATCCCAGTGCAGCTCCATTCCCATATTTACGCCTGCCCCGGCAATTTTGTTCAGAAGTTGTTGTAAATGGTGTTTGTTGCGTCCAGCTAGCACGGCGATAATCCCACAATCCATTGAACGTCGAATATCGGTGTCCAGATTCTTCTCCACGTCTTTGACCGAGACCGGCCGGCATAACCATTACAAACTAAAAAAGGGACAGTGGGCACCCTTATGAAATCCTTGACTTCTGTTTCCTGTCTCCTGACCTCAGGTTCCCATCTGCAACGCTGAAATGGTGAGAACCGTATATTCGGGTGTTGCTAGAAGTGCCCCTGGCCCAGGTGCCCCAGCTTTTCACGCCATTTTGGAGCCCCTGGGGTCCTCTGGGCCTCGTGAGGGGTGCCCTGGAGGCCGCCTGGGCCACCCCGAAAATCCTGGGGGTACCTCGGGCCAGGGGTAAAGTACGGCGGCACGCCGAAAGTTGTGAGTGTATCGAGGAGGGCGTCCACGTTTATCGAATCGAACGCTACTGCCAAAATCTAAAGCCAACAATGCAAATTTTCCCCCGCGTGTGGCGCGCGCTAGCTCAATATGTCTGCGCGCTGCACGAGCGGCGTCGGTCGTGCTTGCGAACAACCTGTACATCACGCATGAAAGGCTGATTGGGCGAGAACTGTCGCACTGGTCAAGGGGCCTTTGTTCTTGTATATGGTCGCCACCACTGCGTGTCGCCAATTTTCCGGTACTTTGGTACTTGTTCCCCGTGCCAGCATTGATTTATCAGTTTCGTAATTGTCTCCAGTCCTTGGGGGTCATCACCGATGGTTTTCCAATATTTTGGCGAAATGTCGTTTGGTCCAGGTGTTTTCCCGTTCTTTAGTTTTGAAATCGCCTTTCGCACCTCTTGCATCAAGACATCGTCGTCTGAAGTAAGCAATGGTGGTCCAAGTGGCTCACGCGGCATGAGCGTCGCAGGTCGCATTTTTTATTGTACGATTTCGAAGTTTCAACAAGTTTGCCATCCAGATTTCTGATGCTTCCCTGCCTGCGCGGCTTCGGCCAGCAATCTCGCTTAAGGGAGGCCCAACACCCATCAGCGATTTGTTGGTCCATCCAAGTTCTTTGATCTTGCTTAATTGATTGTCTTACTTGTTGAAAGGATCGTGGCAAACTCCTTTGAATTTTCAAGTCTGAGAAACCATGGCGGTTGTGTTTCGCGGCCCTTGTGGGGCAGAACGTGTTCAGCCTCAGCGATCGCACCGTTCATGTTCTCCCAAGTTTGTTGCGCAGTTATTTGGAATTGAACATGTTTGTGAAAGCTTCGCGGATATCTGTATGCTTGAGTGCCGTCCTGTCGTAAACAGAGGTCCGCTTGGTGGCGGCAGCCAGGATTTCAATTCCCAGTGACAATTATACCAAGTAGTGGTCTATAGCTATCGCTACTCGTCGGTGGGTGCCGAACTCTTCCAATGATCCCAACCATCCAGGCTCGCATAAATGCAAATCCAAGATATTATGAGATGTTGGCGTGATGGCAGCCAGTGGTAACACCCCAGCTTCCCGGAAAGCAACTCTCATGTCCAGTTCTGATTCACGAAAGTATTTGTAATCACAAGACCTGCGCACACGCAGATCTCTGGAAGTAGTTCTCTGTTTTGTGATTCCACTTGATGCACGGCTTCCCTCTCCACCCAGCCATGCTCTCCAACAACGTCTTCTCTGGGATGCGCTTGGCCACCCTGTGCATTCAAGTCTCCTTGAATGTTTTGTTTTCCCATGTTCGCTCGGCATGCTCTGAATTATTTGTCCACTACGTGGTAAAGGTTTAAGATCATGTGGTGCAAATGCACAAATTTGCCTATCGTTTCCCATGCAGTCGTAACATAGCGAATAGGAGCAAGTGGCGCCAAATTGTCGGAGTTGTCTGGCATTCTTCCTTGCGACCGTCTTCTTTGGCCGAGGGGCCGTAGGGAGGGCCTCGGCCCTCTCCAGCGCCTATTGGCGGCGTTGTGTACTGGTGAATTGCTTGAAGAGGGCGGACTGTCACGGCGACGACGGATCGGCAGGGGTAGGGCTCACGTGTTGTTGTTTATGCAAGCGCCCTCCTTAGCAGCGCGGAGAATTTGCCCCTCGTGTGAGAGAGAGACGCTATCGTTGGCCTGGGTGTCCTCGCCGGCGTCCTCATCGCCGTCGTCATCGTCGCCGTCGTTGTCCTCGTCGTCGTCGTCGTCGTTGTCCTCGTCCTCGTCGTCGTCTTCGTCGTCGGAGGAGGAGGAGGAAGAAGAAGAAGAAGAGGAGGAGGAAGAGGAAGAGGAGGAGGACAAAGAGGATAGACGACAAGGGAGGATAGGGGACGGAGCAGCCGCGAGAGGGGCCAGCTTCGGAGAGCGGCCGTTCCAAGCGTGTTCAGGTGGTGGACGCTCTGGACTGTCGCGCGCGGGAGAAAACTCGCTTGGGGCTGCCAACGCCGCGACCAGCACGTCCCCGGACGTCTAGAAAGTATTGAGACACGAAATGCGCCCAAGGCCCAGAGGGCCCAGCGGGCCAGGGGGACACCTCGGGCCAGGGACACCTCAAACGGGGCCCCGGCGAGGACATGGATCCGGGTTCCGGAGCCCTCCGGAAGCGCTCCCCGGGCGGGTCCCGAAGGCTCTGAGAAGGCGCGGTGCCCGAGAGACATCCTCATCTTCCTCCTCCTCCTCCGAGACATTCGTCCGAGCGGCCGGATCTCAGAGACTCTCGATTCAGAGAGTTTTGAGACGGGGGTCCATGCAAGCGGGCAGGGTCATGCAGAGCCAGGGGGTGCACAGACCTGGGCTTGCGCGCAGGACCCTGCAGGGGCCTGCAGGATGTTGCAGGATCCTGCATCGCCCGACTGACCTTGATCTGGGTTGCCCCGGTTCAGCAGATCCCCGAATGCATCTTCGGTTGATGTGAGACTCGTCCTGGCTGCTTCGTGACGCCCGTGGCAGCCCCCCCCCCCAGGCACGGGAGGAGGGGGGGGCGGCGAAGGGGTGCGAGGGCCAGTTTGTGGGGGAGCCCCGGAGGCCTCGCGCGGGCCTCTTTCTAAGCAGCCCCCCTCCTCCCCCGACCCCCCTTGCGCGCCGCCAAATGTGGGACGACGTTTTCGCGGCGACGACTTGGGGTCAGTTGAGCCCGACGTGCATCCGACGTGAGTCCGACGTCAACTGGGCTTCGGGTCGCTGCGCGAGGCGACCACGCTTTTTCCGCTGCAGTCAACCAGCAGTCGCAGACTCGGAGCCCCAGACCCCCGACGCCATGATTATTTCACGATGTCGACCCCCAGAGGCCTCGACCTATTCCCTGGGACCGGCTTTCCATCCCCAGTCGTCTGTGGATTGTCTCCTTGCTTCTCGAGGGCCCCCAGGGGCCGAACATGTGAATAGCCGCGCCCGTCGTGGTTGTTTCGACGTGAGGGGGTCCGAGATCGGATCCCCACGCCAGGCGAGCAGCATCCCGCTGGCCTCGCACAGCGAGCAGTGGTTCGGCCCCTGGGGGTGGCACCAGGTCCTGATGGTGGTCATCGCCGTGGTCCGGGGCTCTCGCCTCCGATGCTCCTCAGGATGAGGACGGGGATGGGGGGAGGGAGGGGAGGGAAGGGAGGGGGGGGGGAAGGAGCAGGAGGAGATCGTCATCGAGGGAGGGGGAGGGAGATGGAGGAGGGGGCAACGGAGGGGACGGGAGGCAAGGCGGAGAAGGGATAGGGAGAGGAAAGGGAGGAGGAGGGAGAGGAGAGGGAGAGAGGGGAGGGATAGGAAGGAGGGAAGGGAGAGAGGAGGATGATGGGATGTGGGAGAGGAAGGGAGGGGGAGGAGCAGGAGGAGACGGCCATCAGAGCAGCGCTTGCACGGCGGCCTTAGGCCCGCCGATCGTGCTCCTGACCCTCCAGGCCTGCAGCAGCTTGTCCAGGAGGAGGGAGAGGTGCAGGATGAGGAAGGGAGGGGGAGAGCTGAGGTGAGGAGGACCAGGAGAAGTTAGGAGGAGCAGGAGGATAAGCTGGAAGAGGGCGGGTATGGGGGGGTATGAGGGAGGGAGGGCTTCAAGGACTGGGTGGTGGTGATGATGATGGTGATGGTGAGGAGGAAGAGGAGGAAGAGGAGGAGGAGGAGGAGGGGGAGGATAAGAGAAAGGCGGGACAGGACGAGGCAGTGCAGGAACCGAGGGAGGCGTGGTGTGGATCGGGCGCGGGTGAAAGATGAGAAGCGGGGATACGAGATGATGAGGATTACCATTTTGACGACGGTAAAGGTGATAAGGTTGATGGGGTCGTCGGCTAAAGGGGATATTACTAATGCTGGTGATCACGTGTGAATAGTTTGTTGGCTGTGCGCGGTGGATGTCGGCGATGGCGACGGCGACGACGATGACGATGCCGACGAGGGTGACGACGATAATGATGACGGAGAAGATGACGATGACGATGTTCGTGATGGTGATGTTGGAATTGTTGTTGATGATGTTGATGATGATGACGATGATGCTGCTGATGATGGTGATGCTGCTGATGATGGTGGTGATAGTGATGACGATGATGCAGGTCATGATGGTGATGATGGCTGTGATAATGCTAGTGATAATGATGCTGCTGATGATGAGGATGATGCTGCGTGTGCTGCTCCTGATGATGATTGTGATGCGGATTATGCTGAGTACGATGATGCTGATTATGATGATGATGCTGTTGGTGATGGTGATGACGATGACGATGATGCTGATGATTGTGGTGGTGCTGATGATGATGATGACGATGATGATGCTGATGATGGTGATGATGATGATGCTGGTGGTGATGATGATGACGATGATACTGATGATGATGATGATGATGATGATGATGATGATGATGATGATGATGATGATGATGATGATGATGATGATGATGATGGTGATGGTGATGGTGATGGTCATGGTGATGGTGATGGTGATGGTGATGGTGATGTGATGGTGATGCTGATGATGATGATGATGCTGATGATGATGACGATGCTGATGATGCCGAGGGTGATGACGAGGATGATGACGGTGGTGACGATGACGACGATGACGACGATGCGGGTGGATGGGGGGCAAGGAGGAGGAGCAGGAGCAGTCGCAGCACGAGGTGGGGGGGGGGGGGGGAATTTGGAGGACGGGTGAGGAGAGTGGGCCGTGCCAGTCTGTGCGTGTTTTTTTCAGGAGTGTGAGACGGATGAGGAGAATGGGGGGATGGAGCAGTCGTACCAGTTGCATAATCAGAGGGAGATGCGTCCTTTCTGCCCGCCAGGGGGGGGATGACTCGCCAGAGGGAGATCCATAGGAACACGGCAGGTTCATGCAGCGATGGTGCGTTGGCGACGCTTGCAGAGGCGTTCAAGATTGATTCCGCATGGCAGAACGATTCGAAAGCACCGAGGGGCACGATGGCGCCACGGGACCCGACGAACTTCAACCTTGAACGATCGGGGCCGTGATCGGATGAAGGTTGAGCTTTCGACGCGGTGCCATTGTTTGCGCGCGCCGACGCCGCGCGATTCTCTACTGTAAGGATGGGCCAGGTTGATGAAACAGTTCGGCCCGCTCTCGACCCTTGGCACCCATCCGTGGTACTGGAAGTCCGCCGCCGATGCGGCCCCAGTTGGACGACTCACAATCGGTCGGGACCCTTTGGCGCAGGAATCGCCAAGGGGAAGCCAACCTGTCGCGGGGCCCGCTTGTCCGAGCGGCGAGGACAACAATACCGATGCGCACCAATTCCTGATGTCGAAGCCAACGCGGCAACCGTCCGAAGTTAACACGACCCATGTCCGAAGCCAGTGCGGCAACCATCGCGTATGGGCGTATGGGAATCCATTGTGCCTTTGGGGGGTGCCGACGTGTCGTGATTTCCCCGAGCTGATGATTCGTTCGCTGAGCGAGCATTGGGATTTCCAAAGCCTTGGCCAACGAATGCATGCGCCGCGTCGAGGCGTCCGCGCGGCATCGCAATGTCAATAGCAGTTGTTCTTGTCGTGCGAGCTTCCGCTTCGACGGGCTTGGATCTCTCTCCCTCTCTCGTTGTTTCGTTATCTTTTTTTTTTGTTTCTCTCTCTCTCTCTCTCTCTATATATATATATATAAATAGATGCATGTACGTATATATACGTGCATGTGTTCGTGCGCCCATCAGCGGGCACACGTGCGGCTGACATCCGTGCGTCGCGGAGGCGACAGCGAAGTGTGGTTGTGTTAAGATGTTGCGAAGTTGCGCGTGTTGTCGAATTGTTGTCTTGTTGATACCGTACATGTTTGCACACCCATGTTTCATTGGCACATGTTACATTCGCGTTATTGATTTACGCATGTGTTTATATGCTTATCATGTTCTCTGTTGTTCTCTGTTTGAGTTGTTTATCGTGTTCTCTCCCTCTCGCTCTTTCTCAATTCCTCCTTTCTTCAGTACTGGATACTCTCTTTGTGCATGTCTCTCTCTCTCTCTCGTTCGCTATCTCTCGCTCTCCACCCCTATCGCTACCGTTCTCTATGTTCTCGCTTGCGCTGCTCGTTGCGTACCACCTGCTACGCAAGTTACCAACGTGGGCGACGGCGACACGATCTGCATGACGATTTTTGAGACGGGATGATGTTTTTATGGGTAATGGGTCGGTTCGCAAAGCCCCTTTTTGGCTCTGGTCAGCGAGAAAACGAAGAGAACGTGATTAATGCAGAGGACAGGCCAGGAGGGGTGGGGGGGAATCCAGGGAGGGAAGGGCATGGATGGGGAATAATGGGGTGAGGAAAGAATAGTTTTGGGACGGAGGAAGAGGACGGAGGGGAAGGAACAAAAGGACGGATGAGGAGGGAAGAGTAAATCAGAGGGATCTGAAGGAGGAGGAGAGGAGGGGAGGGAGGGGAGAAGGACATTGGAGGAGGATGTTCAAGGGACAATGGGGCTGTTTGGCTGTGTTTTGCTTTTTGCTATTGGACCAGACCTTGTTTTGCAGATCTTCTTTCGAGAACATTCAGGGACAACTTGTCTGGACTGTTCCAGTTGCCGCGGTGAAGGGTTTTTGGGAGGGGATGGAGGGGGAGGACAGGCCACGCGTGGAATTGGTCAAGTGGAACCAATTGAATTGGGCGGCCCTGGCGAAGGGGCTGTGATGCCCACCCACCTCGGGGGTGGGGGCAGACGCCAGAGCACGAGGACACGGGCGGATGAGGAATCCGCCTTTCGGAATCGTTCTTCATGTTTCCGCGCGGTACTGTCGGCTCAGGTCCAGAGCTGGCTCGCAGGGCTGGTGGTGAAGCGCTTCAGCACCGTCTGCAAGGCCATCGCTCAGGCCTGATGGGGGCGGAAAAGAGGGAAGAGAGAAAGCCAGGAAGGGTGGAGGGGAGCAGGAGCAGGCTGTGGAGGAGACGGGTGAAGAGGAGCAGCAGAAACAATTGGCGCAGTTGCGCGTTTCCAGGGCAGTGCGAGGAAAAGGAGGAGAACGGGGGGGAGCAGGTCACTCCTTCTCCCTCCGCTTCGTCCTTCCTCCCTCCGTCTCTTTCTATGTCTGTCCGTCTGTCTGTCTGATCTTTCTGTCTGTCTCTCTTCCTGCCTGCCTGTCGTTCTCTCTCTCTCTCTCTCTTTGTCTCCCCATACGTATTTCTTTATGTCTCTCTTGTTTGTTTCTCTCGCTCTCTCTCTCTCTCCAGATCTCCCTCTCCCTCTCTCTCTCTCTATCTCCCTCTTCATCTCCACGCGCGTAGATGTATGTATGTATATATATACACATATCGAAAGCACATGCGTATATGGTCTCTCTCTCTCTCTCGCATCTGCTACCCCACCTCCCCGCCACGCGGAGGAGGAGAAGCTGGACGGGGGGCTGCGTTGGGCCCCCGTCGCCCTCCTCCCGAGGCACCGGGCTCGCGCGAGAGGGGGGGCGCCGCCAGCGGGCCCCGCAGACGCTCTCCATCCTGCTCGCGGGGGTGCTGGGCGACACCGTGCTGAACCGGCGCCCTTCAGTAAGGGCTCAAAGACGCCCCTACCCTGGTCTATGAGGCGCTGTGCGCTAAACCTCCTGTGGGCTGACAGGATAAACCCTGCGTATCGCGTGTGTCGCGCGGCTTACTGGCGGCTCTGGCTTTTGGGAGCTCGCAGGAGGTTTACAGACCACGCACTTGCAACCCAGGGTAGGGGCGTTTTTTTTCATCCGTCACTTCAGGATCGTTTTACCGACCCCCAGCCCCATCCCCATCCCCTGCGAGACCACCACCAAATTACACCCCCAGTTGGTGATACACCCCTCGAAGCCCGAAGGGGGTTTCCAGGGGGGCAAATCGGCCAGTGGGGCCCAGGCCACGCCGCTGGGGATGGGGATCGGTTAAACGATACTCAGCTCTACCCCCATCGGCTCCGAGCCATCGCTCCCTCCCTCGTCGAGAAACATGAAAGAGGCCTTACCGTGAGCGGCTTGAAGAAGGAGCACTTGCTTTTCAAAAGGGCTCGGTCGTTCCTGATGTTTGAATGCGTTTTTGATCGTTCCTTCCTATGCGTAATTTCCTATGGATCGTTCCTTATGCGTTATTCCTGGGAAAAAAATGGCTTCGTTCCTTATGTATCGTTCCTTGGGTCAGGCCGATGACTCTACCCTAAATAACAAAATTAACACGTAGCCTAACCTGGGTCCCCGTCTCTGCATCTAGGGATACTCGATCTGGGCGACACCGTGCTGTACCTGCGCCCTCCCCACATCCGAGAAGAGAGATGTCGGCTCCTCCCTGCTCCTTCTTTGCTTCGAAGAAGGGGGGAAAAGGCATAATAATACACTCTCGGATTTCCACCCAAATTTCTTGGATCGGCGCTGGAGACCCCTGCTGGCACCTCCAGCGCGGCCTCTGGCGCAGTCCGCGAGCCAGGGAAGGGAGTCCATCGCCGATCCAAGAACTCCACACGGACCTCCGAATGTTTTATGGTTGAACAACGTCCCTGCTCCTCATTCTCAGACTCTGTGGGGAAGTCCGAACCCTACCTTCGCTGATAGACGATTCAGGCAATTCGATGGGCGGCAGGGGTAGGGTTTGGTGGAGTTCGTCGAACACGCTTCGCAATTAGACCCCTACCTCCGCCTGCCATCGACTCAGTAGAGTTGATGGTTGTTGGGGGTAGGGTCTGGATGCCGCCACAGACCTCTCCTCGCTGTGGGAAGGCCGACAAGCGTCCGAGCCCAATAAGCAGATGGGCTCAACGTCGAGTCGCAATGTCGTTACCGAGCACCTGCTGGGCGTCCATGTGTTTTCGATGCATTGCTAGGGGTTGCCAGCGTTGCCGTCAGTTCTGTACTCGGTGGTCGTTTCCTCGGCGCAGCCTCTTCGGCAGAATAATGGAGCCGGTCCCTGCCAGGCTCATGCGGGAAAGCTCAGTCACAGTCATCCCCATCCGCGCATTTGCGCACAAGTCCAAACGGATGGGACGAGGCATAATTTTTTGCACGAGCACGCGCTGGAACCAGATCATGGCCATGGGCCGGGCGCAAATCCGGACAAATTGGCCGTGGCCGTGATTCACCCACAGATTTTTGTAGACATGTTAGCCGCTTTCGGCAGCGAACCATGGGAGCCTTGCATACCTTCGCAACTCCGTCCTTAGAGTGCACTAGCGTCTATTCGCGTCTGGTAGTCGGTGAGATAGCGCCGATTCAGCGTCGATGTGCGTCGATCTAGCGCCAATGGGCGTCGAATAGCGCTGATCGGCGTCGATGCGCAGAAGCTGGCAAGACAGTGTGGGAGGCTTCCATGACCTGCCGCCGAAGCCGCTCCTACCAGATGGCATGCCTGGTTGGCAGACTCGTCCGAGACGACGGGCGCACCACCTCGCCCGCCGCGCACCCCCTCTCCCGCCCTGCCTCTTCGCGCCGGCCATCCTCTTCCCGCACCGCCTCACGCCTCTGCTTCTGCTCCTGGTGCGGCTGATCCTGCTCCTGCTGTCGGGGGCGGCAAAGAGTGGGGTGATGACTAGGGGGGGGTTGATATCATGGCGTGGGCCATGATATTTCCCCAGATCTCATGGCGCCTCTTCTTATTTCATTACGTCCTTGGCCCTCCCGCTGGGCCGCGCACATGCCGCCGGTCATGATTTGCACCCCCCCCTCTGGGACACCCCCTTCTTGGCCGCTCCCGATGCTGCTGATGCTCCCTCGGCATCCGGCGGCGCGCCCAGGGGAGGGAAGGCAGCGGGGGCGGGCCGTCTCAGAGGTCTCAGGAGGCCTCCGGCCTCTGGAGACGCCGTCTGTCTAGGCCTTCTCAGAAGCCCCGTCGCCTTCCGAGAGGGCCTGTCCCCATCTCCTTTCCCCATCGGCGCGCCGCCGAGGGATGGCCTCCTCTCACGTTGACCGTGGCAGGTACGACTTCTCCAGCAGGGCGGCGCCCACCATGGCGCTCTCGGTCATCGTCCTGCTGTCCGCGGTCATATTTCAGACTGGCAGGACGTTCGGCAGGAGGGGAAGGAGGACGAGGAGGAGAGGAGGGGGAGGTGCAGGGGGAGAGGAGCAGGGGGAGAGGAGCAGGGGGAGAGGATGAGCAAGGTGAACACAGCGATGCAGGCATGATAATCAGGTGAGAACGACGAGGTGGATGGCGAGCTGAAGAGAGGCCTTGCAGGAAGACGTCCAGCCAGTGTTGTAGCAGCAGGAATGAGCTGGTAGCGATTGGTGTCGATGACGGGGATGATCAGGCAGCTCCGATAACGAAGGGACATGCCCTACACTGCCACGTGGACGTACAGTAGATCCTCACCGTCCAGGGCCGTTGTTTGTGTGTCGTTCGCCATCTTCCACCATTCGGCCTCCCGGGGCCCTGACCGAGCCGCGGGACCATCAAACAACCATTTCAGGATAAGATTCGAGTTTCGGGGAAGGGGTCCAGATCTCCGGGGATCCACATGGTGAACAAAGTCCTGTAATATCTCATATGACTCTCTCTATATATATATGTATATTCCTTCCCATGCTGGTGGCCGATGCTTGTTGAAACTGCTCCGAGTATTTGTGAGGTGTGCACCGCTTGTGCGGCCTCTTTGGAGGTGTTTGAGACACTGCATACACTCCATCATCGTCCCTTTCACCCCCTTCCTCTGCCCTTCTTGTCTCGCCTTTGTACCGACCTGGGCGCCTCCTGATTCTCGTCTTATCGTCCCTCATGTGGCTCCTTGTGGCCCTATTCTTGGCTAAACACATTGCGCCAACCGTGCTCTTCTAAATTAGGGGTTCAATGATTCTGCAGTGCATGTTCATACTCTACTGGTGCTCGCCCATGGCGAGCTTGCCGCATTGTGGGCAGCTCGACGAATGCATGCTCCTGTCTGTCTGGTAAGCAGATGTTATCCCAGCCATGAACCAGATATATCTCCACCACATGGATCCCAGTCGGCCGACGCGAAAGACAGGTTCCTGCGGCGTAGAGTTTTGCAGCACAGTCATCGCCTTAACGATGTTGTTCCCTTGTAGCATGTGACCCTTTCCATGTGTAGCATGCGTGTGTGTGTCTGTCTGTCTGTGTGCGTGCAGTGGGCACTGACCTGGACTCAACGGCCCCTGCAGCTCTGAAACTTTGATGATGGAATGCGCTCATAACGATGGTGTTGCGAAACAGTATCATTCGGGAAATCCCAGAGGCAAGATTGTGCTTGGTTGTCGGCGTCACCGGTGTAACTCTTCAGGCCCCTCCCACCAAGTAGTTGCAATGGGCATAAGCACCCACGCGTAAGCCCCCAGTGGTGTTCGCAGTTTATTGCATTTTCCTCTACTTGCAGTTCCCATGCAATCGTGTTGGCCTGCGACTATACGAGCACTACTACTGCAGGTCCCATCGGCGTTGTGTTAGCGGGCGCCCCTCTTGGGGTTCACTTGTCTGCAGACGTCCCTCAATGTTTGATTCCGCTGATCAGGGGACTGCAGGGTCAGCAGCCTGATGTTTGATTCCGCTGATCACATCAAATGTCCCTCAATGTTTGATTCCGCTGATCACACCGAAGCCCCTGACCCTGCAGTTGGACTTGCAGGGTCAGGGGCTTCGGTGTCATCGCCCACTTGCACTTTCTGCTATATCTTTTTAAATTATATCAAGAGTCCTCTCGAATTCTTCAGTGGCCCTAACATGATGTCCGCGCACAGGGTCGACAAGATCCTATTAAGATCCATGCAACTGAGAGGATCCAGCCGAGACCCCCTACAGCTCCGATGGGTCTTACAATTCGTGGGATCCAGCTCGGGCTCCCGACACCTCCAATGGGATTCGGCAAACTGCGGTGCATGGTGCTGTGCTCGCAGTCATCATGCGGTGCTGGCAGGGTATGGCATCATGCGGCACTGGCTCACTGCAGCCGCCGTGACCGCCAGCCGCAAGCGTTGCCCCCGTCCTTCCAGCTAATATCCGTTTCCTTCCTGGCAAGCGCACTACGAACTTCATTGGGAAAACAGCATAAAGATAATTTCGGAGGTTCGCGGGGATTTTTCGGATCTGCGTTGGGCCCTTTTTGAGGCGCCTTCCGCGCGTTCCGCACGCCACGAAGGGGGACCCAGCGCCGATCCAAGAAATCCGCGCGGGTTAGATGTATGAAATGATGTTGCTCTTTGACTCCAGTTCACATGTCATTACGTTTTTTTTGATGGATCGGACACGGCCGCTGCCAGGGCCAGCGCTTTGGTTTCAGCGCACCCTCAGCCAACTTGATGGAATGCTCTTTTGTTGGTTCTGCTTTTCCCAAAACCGCCAAATTGTCCATTGCGAGGGGGAGGAATGCAGGGAGGGGAGGAGGAGGAGGAGGAGGAGGAGGAGGAGGAGGAGGAGGAGGAGGAGGAGGAGGGAGGAGAAGAAGGAGGAGGAGGAGGAGGACGTGGGCGGTTGGCAAGTCTTTGGCCCCGCCCACTAAGTTGCCCAACGCGTGTTTCCACATTCGCCCAGGATCCAGAAGCGATTCTTCGGGCGCCGGATGTCTCAAGCCCAGGCCCGCACTTGCTTGCAGGGGCGTGCGCTCGTCCAGTCTCTCTCACCTCTCCGTCTGGATGCCTCATGTTTATGTTGTTTCCCTTTCTCTCTCTCTCTTTCTCTCTGTTGGTTGTTGTGCTCGCCCCTGATGCGACTCTGCCCTTTCCATCTCTCTTTCTCTCCCGCCCTCCCTCCTTCGGTCTTTCTCTATCGCTCTCTCTCTCTCTCTCTCTTGTGAAGCAGATGGAGGAGGAGGAGGAGGAGGAGGAGGAGGAGGAGGAGAGGAGGGGGAGGATGCGGCGGCGGCGGAGGAATGCAAAGAGGAATAGCAGAAGTCTAATCCGAGGGAGGGGGAGATGTGGGTTGATGGTGGATGCAGGAAGAGAACCCAGAACGGAGGAACTCGTTTAAGGAGCATGAGTGAGGGAGCGAGGGAGGATGGATGGGAGATTGTGGAGGAGAAGGCACAGGGAGCACGTTGGAGAGAGGCTGGGATTCAGGGAGGCTGCAAGGGAGCCGCCAAGAGAACTCCAGAAGGCCGTACGTACGATCAACTGGTATGTCCATTCCGCGATACTCTCTCTCTCTCGTTCTCTTTAGCCGGTTCTCTTTCACTGGGAATATGTTTCCGTTCAGAAGGTTTTGTTTTTGAGCGTTCCCGGGACACTCGGCCGGTGCCGGGGGACATCGTGGCGCCAAGAGCGAATGCCGCCCGAGGGGCCTGCGCGTCGAGACATTGGCAACATGCTGAGGTGGTTCGGCCCGTTTCGCATGAGACATCGTCGAAAGTCTGGGTTCGGAGACGACCAGATTTGACATGGTCTGGTCCGTTTCGCTTGACACATCCTCGCAATTTTGGTCTCCCAGACGCTACGCGAGAGATGGTCTGGCCCATATCGCTTGAAGCATCCTCCGAACTTTTGCCGCCAAGTCCAGGGGTCAGCCGAGGGCTTGCCGCGTCGCCGCCCGTGGCCGCCTCATTGCTGCCCACGTGGGGGCTCGCCGAGGTTTTGCCGCGTCGCCGCCCGTGGCCGCCTCGTGGCCGCCCCATTGCTGCCCACTCGGGGGGTCCGCCGGGGTTTTGCCGCCCCGTGGCTGCCCACTTGGGGGATTTGCCAAGGTTTCGCCGCGTCGCCGCCCGTGGTTGCCCCGTGGCCGCCTCGTTGCCGCCCCTTCTGGGGTTCCGCCGAGGTCGCGCCGCGTCGTGATTGTGGCCGCCCCGTCACCGCTTCGGGGGTCCGCTTCAAAGCTTCCATCACATAACGCACAACACATGATTTACACAACTTAGATCCGACCACACAATTCACACCACACAGCTTGCATTACACCACATGTCTTTTCACGCCACATGACGCATTCCTCTTTCCCAGCAAACGAGACTGCCTTGCGGCGAGACGAAGGAAAACGACGAGAGGGCGTAGAGGAGGGTGGGGGGAAGGGGAACGCGTCGGGCGCCCGGCAACGCCCGCACACCAGTGGCCCCCGCGATCGGCCGCGGGCCTCTGGCGCCTGGCGCCACGGGGTCCGCGGACAGCCGCGCGCACAACGCCGCCCCCAGTCGACGTCGCCGCCGCTAAGCCGACGCACGGCCAACTTTCCAGCCCCCGCCACAGCTGGAGCCACCCCCCGCAGCACAGGCAGGCGACCCAGCATGGCCCCTGGGACCCGACGCGCGCCCTCCGCGCCCTGCCAGCGAAGCGCTCTCGGACTGTCGCCGCCGGTGCAGGCGGCGCAGATGGCGGAGCGGCTGCAGCAGCGCCGGGCCCGTGGCCGCCGCCTTGCGGCAGTCGGCTACCTCTTGCACGCCGCATAGTCTACACATCATAGCGTACACCACACATCGGGAGCGACAAAAAAGGACATACACGTAACCTCAGGAAGGCATTAAGAACCCCCCCCCCCCCTTTTCCGGTGGATTATAACGCCCCCGCACCCTGGAGCGTTATGGCCGCACCGGAAGACCTGGCTGAGGGGACTCGGGGCCTAGCTAAGGCCTGCCAAGCGCAGATTTGCTCCTGCCAAGCAGTTTAGCAGGGCCAAGCAGGGTTTAGCAAGGCTTAGCAGGGCATAGCAGGGCTTAGCAGGGCTTAGCAGGCCTCCTCGTCGTCGTCGTCGTCGTGTCTTGACATTCGTCACGACACCCTCTCTTGGCGTTAGTGGGGCGGCCGCCGATGGTGGATTTTGTTTTCTGTGTGCGGCGGGTGCTAAGTGTATCGTTCGGCTAAAACTGCCCGCCTGGAATATTGAGAAAACCGGGTGCTAAGAATAACCCAGGGGGGTTTCTTAATGCCTTCCTGAGGTTACATGAATCCACCTTTGTTTCGTGAGTACGTATTGCGCGATTTGTCTTGTCTCGCGGCTGGTCTCGCGAATTGGGGGGCCGTGTTGATGTACGTGGATGGACGCGTACGTCTTTTGGAGGCTGCCTAACACAGCTTGCCCCGCATTTTTCAGACAACATCGCTCACCCCACATAGTTCTCTCACAGCAAGTTGCCCACACGATATGATTTGACATATCTCGCTCGAGATAGCTTGCACATCATAATCGGGGCAAACGATTCAGAAAAATCCCCCTCCTCCCCCCGTCCCGGGGGCTCCAAAATGAACGAGTGGGGCAAACTAATAGAATTCATCCGCCAGAAACTTGTTTTTTTCATCGTCTGCCCCCCAGGCGTTTTATTTTGCCGCCTTGCGGAAACTGATTTTCCGTTCGTCCTACTGCGTTCGTTTGATCACCCGCGGCCGCGGGAGGAGGGTTGCGGAGAGCGGGCGCCGGAAGCGCCTCTAGGGAGTCCCAGCGCAGATCCAGGAGATCCACGGAGGATCGCGAACAGTTTATGTTTGCGTAGTTTTATGTTTGTGTAGTTTTGTCATCTCCGACTTAAGAAACAACCTGAGGACAGCCCAACTGTCGTCCTCGCGGACGGCGGTTGGAGCTTGAAAATGAGGCCAACGTTGCCGTGCGAACAGATTGTCGGAAGAGCCGAAGGAGTTCGGATTGAACAACAGATGTGAGCAACACACGCCCCCAATTCCCCAAACAGCTTGCTGAACGGGGTGCTGTTGTGATAGAAGCTAATTCCGGCCGAGGGAAAGCTAAGCAGAGACATCCTCAAACAAATGTGGTGGTCCGGCCCGTTTCGCCTGAGACATCCTCACAACTCTCGTTTCTGAGTTGTCCGGGATTGAGCGTTTCGCCTGAGACATCCTCCTAAATCTGAGCTCTGAGAGGCCGCGCGAGAGGTGGTCCGGGCCGTTTCGCTTGAGACATCCTCGAAACTCTGAGCTCCCAGATGCCGCGCGAGAGGTGGTCCGGGCCGTTTCGCCTGAGACATCCTCGCAACTCTGAGCTCCAAGATGCCGCGCGCGAGGTGGTCCGGCCCGTTTCGCCTGAGACATCCTCGAAACTCTGATCTCCCCGATGCCGCGCGCGAGGTGGTCCGGCCCGTTTCGCCTGAGACATCCTCGAACTTCTGAGCTCTGAGATGCCCTGCGCGAGGTGGTCCGGCCCGTCTCGCCTGAGAAATCCTTGCAACTCTGAGATCTGAGATGCCGTGCGCAAGGTGGTCCGGCCTGTTTCGCACAAGATATTCTCGCAACTCTGAGCTCTCAGATGCTGCGCTAGAGGTGGTCCAGCCTGGGGGCCCAGAAGGCCACATGTTACATATCCTCCATGGGACCCTGCGAGCCTCAGGAGGCCCCAGAGAGGTCCAGGAGGCCGCAGGACGCCCAGGACAGGCCCCAGGGGCCCCCAGGAGATCCCAGGAGGCTCCCAGGAGGCCCCAGGAGGCCCTCTATCAGAACGTGTCAAGTTAATACACATCCGGTGTCGATTCGTTGATTTTTCCTGCTCTTGTGCCCCCCCCTCCATTTGGAGAGGCCCAAGCGGCCACAGGTTAGATATCCCCCCTGGGAGCCCCAAGATGCTTCAGGAAACCTCAGGTGGAGTTCAGGAGGCCACAGGAGGCCCAGGAGGAAGCTCCAGGAGGTCCCCAGGAGGCCCAGGAGGCACCAGGAGGCCGCAGGACGCCCAGGACAGGCCCCAGGGGTCTCCAGGAGATTCCCAGGAGGCTCCCAGGAGGCCCCAGGAGGCCGCTTATCAGAACGTGTCAAGTTAATACACATCCGGTGTCGATTCGTTGATTTTTCCTGCTCTTGTGCCCCCCCCCCCCTCCATTTGGAGAGGCCCAAACGACCACAGGTTAGACATCCCCCCTGGGAGCCCCAAGAGGCTTCAGGAAACCCCAGGGGGAGTTCACGAGGCCACAGGAGGCCCAGGAGGAAGCCCCAGGAGGTCCCCAGGAGGCCCCAGGAGGCACCAGGAGGCCCCCGCAACTCGGAGCTCTGAGACGCCGCGCTCGAGGTGGTCCAGCCCGTTTCGCCTGAGACTTCCTCGCAGCACGTTTCGCCCGAGACATCGTCGCAACTCTGGGGTCCGAGATGCCGCGCGCGAGGTGGTCCAGCCCGTTACGCTGGAGACATCCTCGCAACTCTAGGCTCCGAAATGCCGTTCGCGATGAAGAGGAGGTGGAGGAGGAGGAGGAGGAGGAGGAGGAGGAGGAGGAGGAGATGGAAGGGAGAAGGAGGAGGCGGATGATGTGCATGAGGGAGCAGGCAGGAGGAGGGGGAGGTCCCAGAGAGCTTCCAGGAGGCCGCAGGACGCCCAGGACAGGCCCCAGGGGTCCGCAGGAGATTCCCAGGAGGCTCCCAGGAGGCCCCAGGAGGCCCTCTATCAGAACGTGTCAAGTTAATACACATCCGGTGTCGATTCGTTGATTTTTCCTGCTCCTGTGGCCCCCCCTGTATTTGGAGAGGCCCAAACGGCCACAGGTTAGATATCCCCCCTGGGAGCCCCAAGATGCTTCAGGAAACCTCAGGTGGAGTTCAGGAGGCCACAGGAGGCCCGGGAGGAAGCCCCAGGAGGTCCCCAGGAGGCCCCAGGAGGCACCAGGAGGCCCCCGCAACTCGGAGCTCTGAGACGCCGCGCTCGAGGTGGTCCGGCCCGTTTCGCCTG